CTGTATTGAACTATTGTACGGCTTTTTTTCACAGTTGTCTAGCATCTCGTTAGCTTCAGTTTCATCCTGGACGCAATTAGATGGTGGTGATTTACAGCTATGTCATCTCTCCTGGTTCTCACGTCTTCTATTGACCTTCTCAATTTTTTGATGACGCGAATATGACCGATCTCGTTTTGATTAGTGTGGTCCGATTAGAACCGTGTAGCTTTGTGCATGTGTTTGTGTAGGAATATTATGCCGCCTATAACGGGTTTCTTGAATGCAGATAAATTTCAAATCTCCCAATATTCTCGTTGCATAGCATATCCAATTATGATTTTGTGCGGATGCTTGGCTAAGAGACTCCAGGTGGAGTTCGTTCACTTAATCTAGTGTGGTTGGTTTAAACTTCGAAGACTTACAAAGATACTTACTTTGTGGATTTATTTACCTTAACAATTGCTTATTTATCTTCTGTCCAAACACAAAGTGTGTATGGAGAACATTGAAAACTGTAATTGCAGAATGGTGTAATGAAATGCATCCGCTATATATAATGTTTATAGGCAGTTGAATCTTCAGTCTCCTATATATAGTCTTAGCGACTCATCTGGAATCCTCAAGTAAAAGCTCATCATGGACTTCAGTCGAGATGATGTACTTAATACCTAAGACATGGGAAAGTCAACAGGACCGGGTGAACTACATCCCGGAATCTCGAGACTAACTGCACAATATATTGCAATCCCACTGACTGTGATATTCAGTATGTCACTTGATCAAGGTGAGTTACTTACCTACTGGAAGGATGCGATTGTCACTTCAATACATAAAACAGGGTCAAGACAACTTCCTTCAAACTACAGATCTGTTGGCCTCACCAGTGTTGTAGTTAAAATAATGGAAAAAATAGTCAAACAGATCATAATGAAATTCGTGGAAACTAGTAACTTCTTAAACAGAAAACAGCGTAGTTTCAGAAAAGGTTTATTCTGAACAACATATCTCCTTATAGCAGAGTAGCAATGAACAAAAGACTATGGACAAAGGAAAATTAGTTGGCGTTGTCTACATAGACTTCGGCAAAACATTTGATAAGGTGCAAACGAATAAAATTATAGAAACTATCCTACAATCAATTCAGATTATGGGTGGTTTCGGTTAAGCCCTTTTAATAACTAACTTAACAGACGATGCTATTCGAACAGTAACAATTCGCGTGTTTCTTTGCACTATTATGATTACTATCATATCCGCAAAACGTGTGTGCTTGATCACATGACAGACTCCAGCTCAAATGTTGACCACTTAAATATCGCTGGATGATTCATTCTCTTCCCATGTATATATTTACGCGAATCCTGTTATTAGTTTTTGCTTTGTCTTGCTGTGCTCTTATGCGATTTGACCATAAATTTGCCTCTGTATTCGCTCTCACACACATATTCGCCTCTCTTCTTCAATGGGCTCGATGTGCCGCGGGATTTATATACTAACTGTTACAAAGGTGATTGCTTAGCGGAGCAAAGCCACTACAGGTTGCTCTTGAAGTTGTATAATCTTGGCATTGCCGGACCTCTCTTAAAATGACTAATGGGTTCCCTGGTATGTCCTAGAAATAAAGTAAGAATGAATTTCGAATGCTCCACCTGGAAACCAGTACTTAGCAGAGTACCGTAGAGTTCTGTCCCAGTTCCTTTAGTTTTTATACTGTATGCAGGTGAACTCTCAGGCATAGCTGAGATCCCAATGCTGCTATACGCTGATGATCTGGCGAAAATTATCAGAAGATGCAGATACATTCGAATTTCAGGCAGTTAAATATTGTGTTTAGCAGGTCTAAAAGGTGGATGCCTATCAACGTGGCAAAGTGCGTCTACATGCACTTTGAAGATACAATGGTGAGTAGTTACCCGTGGTCTGGTCTTACAAGGATCTTGGGATGACAGTGAGACCACCACACACTGATGGGAAGTTGCAGCTAATGGGCTTAGAACCCTATGGGCTTTAAGGTGAACATTTTTCGTGCCGGTATGTAACTCCCCTTTTGCTGATAAAAGAAATCAGGCTAGTGGTGGATAGGTCTTTATTTAGTTCGTGGTACAGTCACAGTGAAGCTCGAGATTATCTATTCAAACACAAAGCTTCTCAACGTTCAGTATAAGATAATAGGAAATATAATGCTTATACGAAGTAAGGAAGTGAATGAACACTTGAGCTTTATTGTTCTGATATATAATTATTTGTTTGTGGCCAACTCATAAGTAATCGACCTAAATTGTTACACATTCACCAAGTCAGATATGACCATGTTCATCACAGTATACACAATCTTAGTGAGAACTAAGCTTCAGAACTGATTACAGGTTGAAACCCTGTTTACCAGGTGAGTCGGATATCCTGGGAAAAGTACAGAGGGAAGCTACCCGTGCAATTCCAGAACTTCAGGGTTTACCTTACAAAGCAGCTTCAAAAGCCTCCTGTCTTTTCCAAACTGACACTTTCCTCTGTCCTACCACAAATTAAGAGACGATCTGATTTTGATGTGTAGGTTTCCAAAAATGATTTTTTGACTTATATATTCTATGTTCTCCTTGCCACTAGATCGGGACACCTCAGAGAACATAACAGGTGAGGACACTCCAAAAAAGTTCATAAGCCGAGAACAAATTACTTGTCAGCTAACTATCGACTTTCCCATCGAATCATCAACGAGTGGAATTCACTACCTCAGCACGTGGTTGGAGTTCCATCCGTTGACTCTTTCAAAAGAAAGTTGGATCAACTGAGAGACCACTATTGCCAGGACTAACATAGGCCATTGAGCCTCCTGTCCTTCCCAAACTGAAACTGAAACTGAAACAACCAAGAACGAATAAAATACTCGTGGCAGACAGGTTTTCACAACGAGTAATCAATTCTTGGAACCTGTCACGCGAAGCATTTGTGTCTACACCTTCAATTGACCCAGTGACGAGAAAACTAGACACCTATAAAAGATTACTAGGCCGTAGGCCTTCTGTCCCTAATTTCTTTTCCTCTTTTATTGTTAACATACCTAGGTTCCTGCCTGGAGGATTTGGTGATCCCCTGCTACTAGACACGGAAGCCTGTTAAGCGAAAGCTTCTTCTATTCCGTCTACAACCATTTGAACAGATCTGAATCTGAATATCTTTAAGAACGGGAAGTTTAGTCCTAACGTGATTTGCATATATCAAACTTTTGCTGTGTTCTTACGCAACAAAAGTACCATTTCAGTTCTAAAAAATCTATCCTGAGCTATACGTTCGGTAGATTACTTTTTTTTGAGTTTCACTATATTTAATAGTTACCTGTGGTTTTGCCTCAGCTTACTATTCGGTTTTTTTTGTTTTTCACGTATAGACTAGTTTCAGTTTATATCACTCGTCTTGTCCGTTTTTGTCCGTTTTCAGTGTGCATTTTAGTGTTTTTTTTAAAAAGGTCTTAAGCTTTTGCCAGCATCTATAACATAGTTTGTTTCAACACCGTCATGAAAAACTCATGCAAACGTCCGGGATGCCGTTTTGCTGTCACAACTGGCATGCAGTGTGACAACTGCAAAGGTTGGTTTCACGAAGCATGCACAAATCTGACAGCAACTGCTTACAACAAACTCAGCAAGTCAGACCAAAAGTGGGTATGTGTCACGTGCAACACGGACGCAGTAGTCTTGCTGAGTAACATCATTGTCCTACTGACAGGTCTTCGAAACAAGCTGTCAGTTAACTTGGAACACGACAGTAAAAAAACGGATATACAAACAAGAGCGCGCAAAGGACTCAAAAATAGGGATGTCGATAGGTATGTCATCGATGGAGCATCCATCAACACTAACGACGACGTGTCGAGGCTCAGTACCATCATTACGTCGACGGTACTAGACTCCCTAGGCAAACTCGGGTCTCCCAGCTCAGGGTCGCTGAACACAACAGTGGTTCCCAAAAACCCTGCAGGCGATTCGACCCACGTTAAGAGAGCCCAAAAGAACCAGGCATCACCGCCTAAGCCGAGCAACCCAAGTGTTGCTGCACGGAAAATAACTGGTGATTTAGTCGCACAGTCTACCCCCAAGACTGTTCGTCCGGTCAATAAAGAGCCCAAGATTCATAAACGCACACTGACCTCCAAAAAACAAGTTATTAAACCTGAACCCATCGTGAAACCTGGTAAATTAACAACAGTTCGTGACGATTCTCTCATTATCATGAACCTCGTCGACAATTCTGACCTTCCTCTCAGTCTGCAGGATAAAAACGACAGGATGCTGTGGGGTGAATTGAACAAAAAGCTCGAACTTCCTAGAATAGAGCCTTTGACGGTCACCCGGCTCACTCGAGGAAAGGATTCTAAGCATCTAAATCACCCGAGGCTTCTCCGAGTAACACTTAAGAATGCTACCGACGTAGAGGACGTCTTGCCAGCAAGTCACTTACTGAAATCAGATGGTAACGTAAGAATATTGCCCGACATACCGTACTCTGAGCGCAATATCATACGAAACGTCCCTAAATAATCTCGCGAGAAGTTCTTCCGCGGAAGAAACATAATTGTCCAAGGTATACCGGAAAATGCAGACCCTACTCAATCAAATTCTGACATCAGGGAATGGAAATTCATCAAACAGTCCTTGAGGCTCAAACACATACTGACTCAGCATGTGACGAGACTAGCCAAGAAGGACGGCGATCTTAGACCCCGTCTAATGAAGATAACCTTCCCATCTTCCCACATGGCGGCTGCAGTTCTGGAAGCATTTCGTGCTAATAGACGTCGATTGCCACCTGGAATTCACATGCACCCGGATAGGCCATACGAAGTTAGGACCAAGAACAAAGGCAAGTTGGAGCTGACCATTCCATTTGTGGACTGTCTAAACGATAAAAAAAACGTGTAAAGGACAGGGCCTACCACCCCGGCAAACCTCATATAGGTGGGCTACCTGTCCATTCACATAAGGTTCATACAGAAAAACAGGACGAAGCTCATGCGTTCCAAATTGAAAGCATAAACTGCTTATATACGAACGCCGCGAGTTTACCAAACAAACTGGATGAACTACGTGAACTTAGCAACGCTAGCAAGGCCCATCTGATAGGAATATCTGAAACCTGGATATCTTCTCAGTTCTCGGATCAAGAGTTAGCATTACCTGGGATGACTTTGTTCCGCAACGACAGAAAAATAGGAATTGGGGGCGGAGTAGCCATATACATAAGCTCTTGCTTGGAGGTGCACCAGGTTCACAACCTCGAGTTTAACAATCTTGAGGAATCCATATGGTGCTCTGTAAGGTTGTCTAGTACTTCCAGGTGTCTAGTCGGAGTCATTTACAGGAAGCCAACTGCCGACACCGAGTGCGATAGTCGTATGCTGGAAGGACTATCCCGCTCTATCCGTCTCGGTTTCACACACATCCTGATTCTAGGGGACTTTAATATCCCTAGAGTCAACTTCACGGAACACACGTACACTGGAGGCGACAACTCAACTGAAGCTCGGTTCTTCAACCTCATCGATGACTTGAGCTTATATGAAAATGTGAGGTCGGCAACTCGTTGGAGAAACAGTCAGACACCATCGCGCTTAGACTGTGTATTCACTAACGAAGAATTCCTAGTCGACAACCTCTCAATCCTGGCTCCTCTGGGAAAAAGCGATCATGCCGTCATAACCTTCAGTTTTGTCATCAAAACTAAGCTAAGGTATCCCAACAATAATTTGCGTTGGAATTTTAAACGGCTAAATGTGCCAGCTCTACATGACCATCTACAACAGGTGGTTTGGGATGCTCACCCTCAAATCGATGTGGATGGTCATTGGGACTTCTTACTGCACACGCTCTTATGTGCTACAGACCATTCAGTTCCTCAAACGGTTCCCAAAAGCTTCAAGCTACCTACAGTAATCAAGAACCGTACCCTTCGCCTCCTAAGCCGCAAACGGCACTGTTGGGCGGAATACAAACGAACTAATAACGATGGAGCGTATAGGCAATACAAACATATCAGGAACACATGCACGAAGGCTATAAGAGAAGACAGGCTTCAGTACCAAACAAAGCTTATGGACAAATTCGCCTCTAACCCTAGAAGCCTATTCCGTTATGCAGCCTCTCTTCGTCAAGCCAAAACAGGAGTTTCTCAACTGCTAGGACCTAACGGCCCGACCAACAACGATGGCGACGCCGCTAACCTTCTGGCGGCCCATTACTCTCAAACATTTCAACCGGCTGACATCAACTTTACTGACGACAGTTTCATCTGCAATTCCACAGGACTTTCTGAAGTGGACCTAAGCGCTGACTTGGTGTTCCGGAAACTGCAGCACTTAAGACTTGACACTTCTCCTGGCCCGGATATGGTTCATCCTGCCATACTAAGGGAGGCAGCCTCAATCCTGGCAACGCCGCTTAGCGTGATGTTTTCACACTCGCTTAGCCGAGGCAAACTACCGGAAAATTGGAAGTTGGCTCACATCACACCAATTTTCAAAGGTGGTCGACGCAATGAACCTTCAAGTTACCGGCCGGTAGCTCTTCTGTCGTTACCTTCAAAACTCATGGAGTCCCTGATATGCGACGGTTTAAATGACTACCTACTGTCCTTAAATTTCTTCTCACCCCAACAGCATGGTTTCAGGAAGGGTTACTCTTGTATAACCAACCTGCTGACTGCGGTGGACAGATGGACAAGCATCCTCGATCGCAAGGGAAAGGTTGATGTCATTTACCTTGATTTCTCAAAAGCTTTTGATAAGGTTAACCACTTATGTCTTATCAACAAGCTCAAACGACTAGGTATCAAACCACCTCTAATCGACTGGCTTACTTCATACCTAAAAAATCGACACTTTAAGGTTAGGGTTAATTTCACTTTATCTGAAGCTATGGAATGTCCTAGTGGGGTCCCCCAGGGCTCAGTACTAGGGCCTCTTCTCTTCTTGATCTACATAAATGATCTTCCTCAACAGGTAACGTCAGACTTATTACTTTTTGCCGACGACGTGAAACTTTGGAGAGAGATACGCAACCAAGACGATATACAGGCACTTCAAGAGGATCTGACTCGACTTCATAGTTGGGCAGACGATAACGGACTTACCTTTAACACTTCTAAGTGTAAAGTAGTCCATCTGCGACATGTCGCAAACTACAGTTACAACTTAGGAAACTCCTCTCTAGTAGTATCCCAAGTCGAAAAAGATTTAGGAGTCCTGGTGCCCCATGACTTAAAGTCTTACGCTAACTGTGACAAAAATGCCTTCCGAGCAAACCTTGCACTGGTAACGTTGAGGCGCATTTTTGGTCAGTTTGACGGAAGAACTTTCCACACAATCTTCAATAGTTTCATCCGTCCCCATTTAGAGTACGGAAACATAATACTCCCCCCTCACTCCAAAAGGATAAGGTCACTTTGGAGCGTATCCAACGGCGAGCCACGAAATCAGTTCGAGGACTCAAATCTAAGCCTTACGAAGAACGCCTCCGTTCACTAGACCTTTACCCACTAGAATATAGGCGTCTTAGAGGTGATTCATTAATGGCTTATAGTATTCTTAACACTTCTGGACATCCTCTTAAACACCTACTTAAGCTTAGTTCGAACAATAACCTAAGGGGTAACACCCAGAAACTGGAAACACAACATAGCAAGACGGAATGTAGACACAACTTCTACTCCTTAAGAGTTGTCAAAAGCTGGAATTCGCTGCCGGCCGAGCTAGTCCAAACGACTTCTCAGGAGTCCTTCAAGAGGCAACTTGACCTATTCTTAAGGACCAAGGACAGCATCACACTATGATTTACCAATTTCTTTTCCTCTTTTATTGTTAACATACCTAGGTTCCTGCCTGGAGGATTTCGTGATCCCCTGCTACTAGACACGGAAGCCTGTTAAGCGAAAGCTTCTTCTATTCCGTCCACAACCATTTGAACCATTTGAAGAGGTCAGCAAAATACCTCCTACTAGCTCCACTTTGTTCTGATTTCCGACTCTGATGATTTGTTTTGGATGCCAGTGATTGAAAGCATCTATAATTAAAACTTTTCATCTCTTTGGAAACCTTTGAAACCAGCTTCAGACTTCGAAAAGGCGGTTTTCGTTATTGTGCGCTACACCGTTTGGTGTTTGTCTACCTTTCTGGGTCGCATAGGATGATAGGGTTTTTATCTACATTATAGTCGAGAAGATTTTGGCTTCCCTCTCAAGAATTCATTTGCACGCAGAGACTGTCAACTTCCTCTTTTTTTACATTAAGTCCGTCTACAGATAATGGTTTCCAGGTAATAATGAGATATAAATCTAAGTATGATAACGAAGATCTTAGAAATTGGTAGTGTTTGTAAATATCTTTCTACATATGAGTGAAATGGATTTCCCTGAGTTCCCATTTAAATAAGATAGGTTATTTTAGGGTCAATGGAATGTCAGTAAGTCGTAAGTCACTAGGCACCCAATCATTCGACATAGATCATCTACGCTGGTGATTTACATTATATTTAGTTCTAAGCTTTAAATAATCTAGGTTTAAAAACCCAGATATTATACCATGGTATAGTATCCATACTTCCTTTTTCCGAGATTTAGATATATTTTAGCTATGTTACTTATATCACTCAAAATTCTTAGGTGAACGCTAACTAATCTATGGTTAACTGCTCAGACGTTTTCTCCGATAATTCCATCCCGTTTATATTTGAGAAGACGAGCAAAAGTTGGTCGTAGTACACAATAACCCTCTACATACATAAGATATTTTAACAACTTATAATGTCGCGATTGATTGTTCTGCGGTCTAATAACAGCTTAGATACATGTTCTGTTACTTGTACAGTTTCTCACCTTCCCGAAATCTTTTCAAGTGTTATTTTTGTCTTAATCTCTTATGTCAGATGTGTTAAGCAGTTTCACTGAATTAGGTCGAAACTGATGTTTTCCCAATTATATGACTTAAGGGTCGGTATCAGACATAGTCTGTTTATCTATAACGTCGTTACGTAACCTGCTCTTTCATTTGCAGATTTTCAATGCCTGCTAAGTACATGGATCCGTCTAAAAGCCACATGAAGCTCATTTACTATGCAGTCTAATGAGGGCAGTAAATCATCTAGTCACACTCGTCCACTTTTTGGGAATGAATCTTCAAGACACTCATCTCATAATATGAATTCAAGGAAACATACACATTCTGTAGAATCGAGCAACTTACCACCACCTCCTCCACCTCCACCTCGGTATCCATTAAAACATGACGGATTCTCCCCACGAACCGGATATATGGTAACCGGTACTCCTGCCGAGCAAACGCCAAAATCTCCACCAAGGACTTCTTCTCTAAGACCCAGGGGAATTCATTTAAAACGTGAGATTGGCTCAGACGATCTTTTACAACCCGTCACGTGTAAGTCTGTATTCATTTATAAGATTACTACAATATTTCCTAATGGTAGGAAATCTGGAGAGAAGTTCATGTATTAACAAAGTACAACATCCGGGACTATTGTGTACTCTGAGATCCCCAAATTCTACCACTATGATAGGATTTTACTTTTGAATTGTTCGAAATCCCTACTGTTATCTACAAGATTAAAATGCGTTTATTAGTACCCCACCTTCAACTAACTATTGTTATTTTGTCGAACTGTCAGTACTGACTAAACACTACAGTGTAAGCTATTCAATTCCATTACCAGGCTATTAGTTGAAATCGCAACACAATGTAATTTGTGTTTGATAGTTTTAGGTATTTGATAGGATGCTGTTTACACAAGTATCATGCTTGTTAACTAGCTTCTTGGTTGTCATGTTAAACGGTTTATTTAATAACAAATAACCCAGCACTGAAATTCCTTTTTCAAACTCCTTCCATGCCTTTGGACATATCACGGCAAAAGTACACGTCTCTGTGATAGAATTATATAAGCTGGAGCACGTTAAAAAATAGCATTTATCAGTTTTTGGTTATATTAACGGACCTTCTAAACTGACTTGGATTGAGGTCCGCAGCTGTACGATCCTTTGATACAAAACGCGGGTTAGCTGCTAGTTAGAACCCGTCTTTAGTAATACAAGTCCTGAAGAAATTCAATGATAAGCAGTCGTAACATTTCGGATCGTACTAACACCGGTCTTTATTTCACTATAATATTCAATTGTCCTTTAATTGGTGTCAGTTTATAACCAAAACTATATGCAATCTACTGGATTTTCTATAATATAGTTTTCTGCTTAATTTTCTTCAAAACCACAGCATCCTAACCTTTTTCCATTATATACCTCAGTGATTTTCTGCGTTGGATAGGATAAACAAAAAGTGAAATTATAGTTTATATTTTACTTGATACATTATTAGTGCTAGTAATTTCAATCAGTGATAACTAACATATGATTTAGCGCAAATTTACGTCAGCCCAATTTGCCACATCATGTATGCATAGTGAGCTAAGTGTGATAAAATGTTATACCGGGTCTCATAATAATAGTATCAGTAGTAATAGAGAAGGCCAAACATATAAGTATGGTTTGAAATTCTGTTAAAATTTGGAATGTAAGAGAATATAGAAAGAATAAACCTATCTACCCCACTGTGACCGATTTCAAGATTCGTTATTTGTTGCAATTCAGTCGCCTACTAGATTTCCAGCCTCTATGCATTTTTACAAGACTTACTGTGAAGTATTTTCTATTTTATGTTTTGTTGTGGCACATTTATGCTTGATTTCGTTAAATCCTTACCATTACAGTGTTTCTCTTTCAAGTGAGTTTCTGCTATCCGTTAAATGGTTTATGTTGTGTCTTTTTATATAATGTATAAAAGAAAGATTGCATATTTCTTGTAATATTCATTGCTACTATTTTACTGTACCCTTTTTCACTGTTGTATTTTTGTTGTTGTGAGATTTTCATATGCTATTTTCTTTGTCGATTGTAATAAACCAGTGTTATTTAAAACTTTTTGTAAGTATTCCTTAAACTATTTCTCAGCTCCTTTGAAATTGACTCATTTGATTGTTAGTTGAAGCAAGAAAAGTAGTTTCAAACGTCTTGGAATGAGTCGATAGTTGTCCCTATCTTTAAAAAGGGTTCACGTTGTTCCTGTAACAACTATCGGGGGATAAGTCTACTTCCGATTGTATCCAAGCTATTGGCTTCCGTCATACTTCGTAGGTTGTTCAAAACCCGAGGAGCAGGCTGGGTTTCGTTCTGGTCGAGGATGTATTGATCATATCTACACCCTCCGCCAAATGTTAGAACACCGTCATACTTTTCAAAGGCCAACAATCGTAGTGTTTCTAGACATCAGGGCTGCCTTCGGTTCGTTGGATAGGACTGTTCTCTGGGATTGTCTATTGAAAAAGGGTGTGCCTGAGAAGTTCATTAACATCCTAAAAGCCCTATATAAAAACACCATTCCTCTTCAACTTTGCCATCGATGACATTCTGTAAACAGCTCTGATGGATGTAAGTAATGGCGGTATGGATCTGTTGCTTGGAGAAAGACTTCTCGACCTTGAGTATGCGGATGATATTGTCTTACAGTGTGATAATGCCCAAGGCATGCAATCCGCACTTAATCAGTTGGCAATCAATGTTCGCAGGTACGGTATGTGCTTTGCACCTTCGAAATGCAAAGTACTTCTACAAGACTGGCAGGATCTTAATCCTGTACTCACCCTGGATAGTGAACAGATAGAAGTAGTCGAGAAGTTCGTGTATCTGGATAGCTACATAAGTGCTGGTGGTGGCGTGAATGATGAGATCAATGCACGTATAGTGAAAGCCAGAGCGGCTTATGCCAGGCTGGACCACCTTTGGCGCCTTCGTGATGTTTGTCTGGCTGTAAATGGTCGGATCTACAACGCATCGGTGAGAGCAGTTTTGCTCTATGCTTGTGAAACCTGGTCTCTCCGAATTGAGTACGTTAGACGACTCTGTGTTCGATCATCGTTGTCTTCGAAGGATTGCTGACATCCAGTGGCAACACCATGTCAGTAATGCAGAGGTTCGGCATCGTGTGTTCGAGCACAGAGATGATAATGCAATCGGTGTCACCATCTTGAAACACCGACTTCGGTGGCCTGGACATGTTCTACGAATGTCGTCCCAGAGAATTCCACTTCGTGCATTATTTGCCCACTCTGGGAGTGGTTGGAAGAAGCGGAGAGGTGGTCAGTACATGACCTACGTTGTAGCTGACTGACAGTATATGACGTGGTGTCGTGGCATGAAGGAAAGCTGCAAAGGACTGGTTTGTGTTGGTCCTTCACGACTCCCTGGTTGGGGTCCGAGAGATGGAAAGGAATTAAGAAAACATTATGGAAATCAAATTGTGGGTGGCCCTGAAAAGGGCTTTTACTCGTTCCCGTTTTAGTTTGTATTGGTGCCACACATAGGACGTTGCACTGCTCGTACGTTCGGTGATGGGTCGTAGGCACAGAAGGTATGAAACATTGCTTCACATCTACAGAAAACCCAACCAACCGCATCACCAGTTTCACACGGCGGCTACGCAATATTACAGATGTCGCATAGTCGGTTCTCGTCATCCTCTTCTTCATTTTGGATATCCCGTTCAGTTAACTCTTCGGAGTTAATAGAAATTACTTCCTCCTCATCGTTACTGAGCGTTTCATCCAAATCAACAGTTCCTCGTTGCATAAAGGGTAGTGCAACGTTAGTTGAGGTTGTTGAATGGGTGTATGAATGCTGTTCTCCATGCAAGTTCAACGGCGTTGTTGGCCATCTACCGTGAATTATGAAGCCATGAAGTGAATTGCATTGTTCCTCAGACATTCGCCTGACTAACGCTATCACTGC